TGCAGCGCGACACCCCGACCGCGGATGTAAGTGTTGACAGCGTGTGCGAGCGATGTGGGATTTTTACTGATAAATATATAGGGTCTCGAGAACCGCCAGAGCCCCGAGGAGCGTAAGAAGCTGGACGGTCTGTACGAGTGCATTCTGTGCGCTTGCTGCTCTACCTCCTGCCCCTCGTACTGGTGGAACAGCGAGGAGTACCTTGGACCCGCTATCCTCCTCCAGTCCTACCGTTGGTTGGCCGATTCCCGTGACGAGAAGACCGCCGAGCGTAAGGCCGCTCTCGACAACAGCATGAGCGTGTACCGTTGCCACACCATTCTTAACTGCTCGCGGACTTGCCCCAAGGGCCTGAACCCCGCACGGGCCATTGCGGAGATCAAGAAGATGATGACTGCTCATTAGAGAAGTGACACGAGATCTTAAAAAAGAATTGCTTTCTCTTTGTGCATTACGTCTTGTGTGGCTGGGTATTTTTCCTTCTTTCCTATCCCATTTCTTTCTGATTTATTCGTGTCTGAGCTTTATTCCCTCCATCCCCGAGGTCTTTCATGTTGGATGTGTTTCAATAGGTGTAAATTGTGAATGTGATTTATAGCCATGGCGGTCAGCCAGTGATCAATTGAGTATATACTTCATTTGGTAGATGACTTGTGCGTAATAAGTCTAGATATGCATTAGGCCCATTTGTTGAATCGGTACTCTTTATATAAAGTGGTGTATATATACACCGTTGTATTCAAGGAATTGGCATTGAAGTGATCTAAATACCTCATTTGAATTTCCAACTACTAACAGAAAAACTTGAAGCCTAGAATCCGTGACCTGGTAGCAAATGATAGCAAATGCCATCTTGGTCTAGACCTGTCTTCGCTACCTTGAATATATATTCAGTTCAGTAGACAAAACCTTACTTGTATCATAGAGATTCTGCTCCCCCGTGCATGAAGACAGTTGAAGTCGCTACTAGTCATTAGTAGCAATATATCAACTGATATTATCAGTAGATCAAATAACTAGGACCGCATGCATGTCTATATGATATACCAAGACAGAGAAACCACCACATGAAATAGTATAAAACCGAAACACCACTCACTTCTCACCATCACCCATCACCCATCACCCCACACACTCCACAACTTCAACAACAACATCAATACAAAATCAATCAAATCAATCAATACCTCCCTCCCGACCCCAAGACCTCAATACACCTCTCCACAGCCCTCTCCATCCTCTCCGTCGCCTCCTCCACCAACCCCATAACCCCTACCCCCTTCCCATTAGCCTTCTCCCCCATAACACCAACCCACTCCCCATTCAACACCTTATTAATATTAATCTTACTAACCCCAGCCCCAATACACCTATCAAAAATCCCCTTATCAAAGGGATCCGCTCCATGCAACACCAGCCTGACCCTATCCCCCACCCTCTCCCTTATGCTCTCCAACCGATCATACTCCAACCTAATCCCGCGGGGTCCATAACTCCCATGCACATTGCCAAAAGCCGGGGCAAGCCAATCAATCCCCGTATTCACGAACTCCTCCGCCTCCTCAGGTGTCGTCAACACGCCCTCCAGATCAGCCGTGTCTGAGATGCCGTCTTCGCCGCCCTCGATGCGCCCTGGCTCCGCTTCAGTCGCGATGCCGCGCTCGTGGCAATATGCCACGAGTTCGCGGGTCAACGCTAGGTTCTCGGCTCTCTCGTAGTGCGACATGTCGATCATGATGCTGTCGAAACCGGGGGTGATGTCCGCTGCCTGGCGGACTATTTCGGGTGTTTGGGCGTGGTCCAGGTGCACGGTTATCGGGACGGAGGCGTTGCGTGCGGCTTCGGCGGCGGCGTGCACGAGGATGGATCCGGCGTAGTGTANGGCCCAGGGGAAGAGGAGGATCATGGCGGGGGAGCGGAGCTTTTCGGCGGCGCGGACGGTTGCCAGGATGCCTTCGAGGTTGTAGCAGCACATGGCGGGGATGCCGTAGTGGTGCTGGTAGGCGTGGTCCAGGATGGGGAGGGCGCGGTTGTTGGGTAGGGACATGGTTGCTGTGGGGTTGATTGAGGAGAAGGGGGTAATCGGACAAAGAGAGGGGTATTGAATAATTTAATAAGTTGTGTGGGTATGTGTGAGGGATAATAGTGCTATGGTGGTATGTATTCGATCTTATACTTCTGTCGCGACGGAATGGTTAATGTTGACTCCACTATTGCCAGCCGGAGTTGCTCCGACCCATATGAGATCATTTCATGTGATTAAATTCCTGATTATTTCGGTGGCTCGTCTACGGATAAACACGGATTACACTGGTGCTGCCCTCCGATCCGAACCCTTGGCCCTTGGACATCAACAATACGTTCAGTGCTGCATTGCCGAGATGGAGCGGGCAGTGCATGTCCCGCGCCTTCTGCACCACTTTCTCTAACCGACTGACCACCGCATCTAAAGTTTCTGTCCCAGCTGGCGCCTGTGCCCCGATTTTACCCTCAATCATCTCCAGTCCTCTCGTGATAAATACCTTGCTTCCCCCGGCTGCGTCACTCACGAGTTCGAAGAATTGCGCCATATCGACACCTAGTGACCGTGCGAAAGCGATGGCCTCTGCAGCCGCGACAAGGTTTACACACTGCATAAGGTCCAGCACGAGCTGTATGGCCGTTTCTGGATCTTCGCTTGCAGTGGAAGTATTGAGATCTTTGAGCGGATGCGAGTAGTACTGGCGGATCATAGCGGAGTCGTCCTTGGGCCCGTAACCTTGCACGAGAGCGGAGAGATAGATCTGCTCTGCAGTCGCACAGAGCGGAACTGGGTAGTTGTTTTGACGGGCTGAGGTAGTGATGATGCCCTAATAATGTCAGTACGCGTGGTAGTGGCAAGGGTAGGTGTGACCTACAGCATCCTTCAAGATAATCGTCAGCGCGCTCGCCCCAGGATTCCAATCTTCCTCCAACATTCTGGGGAAACGGTTCTCATGCATCCAAGTCCACGCTTCTGAGCTCTTAATCCGTTCTGCTGTATTCACTGCATCCAGGCCCAGATGCGCCGCGAACCCCATAGCCTCGCTGGCACCCAAGATGTGGATGGCAGCCAGCACCTGATGTACCATCTTCATGTTACTGCCAGCTCCCACTCCTCCAGGGACAAGGTAAAGCTTGTTTGGGGCAGACATAGCCTGCAGTATATCGCGCGCAATCTGAAGTGCAGAGTCGGAACCGCCCGCTATGATGGAGAGGGTGCCGTCCGCGGCGCGCTTTGCACCTCCTGAGACCGGCGCATCGACAAAGTGAACATCTGATCGACCTCGAGAGGCAAGTTCTGCTGCGACAGATTGGGCATATGAGGCGGGCACGGTGGAACAAAGGAGAAGAGTTGCATTTTGGGGAAGATCTATCAAGTTAGCCTAAGGGAACCAACGGCTAGGGATGTACACACATTGCACAACGCCCTCATCTCCAAAGAGGACGGTTTGCGCCTGCGGCGCCGACGCTACCATGCACACGTAGAAAAGTTTCCTCTCCGCTGATTCACGTAGCGACGAGGCGGGGGTGCCCCCCGCAGCCTGGAATCGCTGCACCGAGGCTGGAAAGACATCGTATCCGTAAACAGGGTATCCTTCGTGGACAAGGTGGGTGGCCATGCCGAAGCCCATGGCCCCGAGGCCGACAAAGCCAATGGCTGGTTTAGACATATTCAATTCCAATTGTTTGCTTTAGCTTCTTGAGCTGTAATCTTTGTCGTGTGGCTCGACACCATTTATGGAGGGGAATGGGTCGCTTTGAAGTCCGAGAACGTGGGGGATGCCGTGGGGGGTTCGGAGGCGGTCCGATCAACACAATCGCCAGTGGACTCTGGACACTGCCATTCGGTATCACCATTAGAAACGTTTCTTCCGAGCTTGGGTCATTTTACTAGAGTCTTACCCCGAGGCAGGACTCCCAATTCATTATGACGTTCGGTTGGTCGGTGTTGCAGCCGATACTATGAGAGATCTTAAGCGATGATCGGCCCGTACTTGATGTTGTCGGGCTTTTCCGCCGTCCATTGAATTTCGTGCCCACTTCCCGCTCCATTGCTATGTTGACGGTTATGTGCTGCTGCTATTTTCTTTTCTTTTCTTTTCTTTTTTTTTTTTTTTTATCAAGACATCATGAACAAGATGATGGCGACAGCGGTAATTTTGCTTGAAGCACACTCGTTCAAAAGGGAGGAAATCATGGGTGCTTGATGATGATGATGTTAACTAATCTAAACCACAAGCACTGTCGGAGTATAGCAACCATGCATTGGAGAGATCAGGCTAGCTGGTANAAACATTACATCGTCTGTTCATCCTTGTCGACCGAGTCGCGATGTGTACGAAAACTGGGCTTGCAGTGTTTTCTTGAGAAAAAAAAAAAAAAAAAAAAAAAAAAAAAAAAAAAAAAAAAAAAGACCCATCGTCGGAAATCCATGTGTCGGTGGGAACATTGAGCTAAGTTCTCGATGATGACACTGACGTATAAATTTCAACAATGGATTAGTATGGGTCGCGAAAGTCGAATCTGAAACGTTCTTTGACAAGTTATACGTATAACAGTCACTACACTTTCAAAAGCAAATAGAAGTTAGCAAAAGAGACCCAAGATATGACCAGGAGAATGGTAACTGTAATGGTAGTATTGCACTGCCCTTGCAATGTCGGATATAGCCTGAGATCGACGAGACATATTTCACGCTCATAATATGAACCACCGATCGGGAGAGCAGCTCACGAAGGGACTACAATTGCGTAGAAGACTGTCACAATCCCAATGCAGCATACACTGCAGAAGGCCATTATAGGACTGGTGGGTATGCAAATGTGTCATACAGCATTCTTTGACCAGCTTTGAATTCTAACAGTAAGCAGTAGTTGACCGGAGAGAGCAACCTAACGGCATGTTGGTGGTCACCTCACCGCATGCGTGAGCTCTTTTTCAATAGGTCACTCACTTAGAGTGATGTGGTCATGCACGCAAAAATTGTTCAAGCCTCGCACCAAAAGCACGCAGCTAATACCAGGGCTGAGTTTGCAGAGGGCTGTAGCATTTCAGTCGTGTAAAAGAGCTGGAAGCATCAGAATTGTCGCAACGACCAGTATCAATCATGGAAACCTAGAAATACTTGAGATACAGAGATCGCTGGACAAATTTGGTTGAATTCTGTACTTTCAACAGCACGATCAGAGACGAATGTAAACATTGCGAAATAACCCACACCACCTAGTTTACTATTAGACCAGGGAAACCATAAAGCGTACAGACGGCCCGTACACCTTCAGCTCTGGAGGTAAACTGCTGAAGGCCTACCAAGAATGTCCAGTAGAGAGACCGAAGTGGTCAATGACTTTGAGGTAGAGAATATGATGGGATGTGCTCAGACAGCCTTGCGAGCTTTTTCTGAGGGTATCCCAACAGCAAACCAGACGCGGAGCGCGTAGACTTGGCCGTAGATAAGAGCCGCCAACAACCCATATAAAAAATGCCGGCCCCGACTGGCCAGTGACGAACATCTGACCGAGTCGGGGGAATTAATTCGTGGTACTGTTCAGTAGGATGCACCCAGGGACGCGAGATTGCTCCAGCTGCTGGCCGGATGCCATGACATCTTCTGTGGCCGGGCTGTATGGGATCACGGTCGCAGTCAGCACAGGGTTTACTCGCCAGTAAGAAGGAACAACTCGCATGCCTGAGTAGACAGGGAGATATTACATACGCCGGCAGATCAATCCGAGTGAGCTTCGCCAAAGTATCGTCAACGGACGGGTAAAGCGTCGCCTTCAAGGGATGGAAATGCGTCTCATCGGAGTCAACTCGCTGGTCATCGGCCACGGTGTTTAAAGCAGCTAATCCATCAGGCTGTATGTACAGTGATAAAAGTTTTGAGAGTAAGATACATCTTATTCTCTTTCAACCCGAGGAGTGAAGCGCAGAGAATGAGTTGAGATGTTGATGGAAGGGAAAAAGACCAAAAGGGAAGGCAAGTGTCGATCGTGAGGAACTAACTTCCGATGAGTAATGGCAGGAGCTTTCGACTGTCCTGGCCTGTGTCTCATTCACTGTCACGTCGTGGGTGCAGCTTTCTTCTGTTGAGCGCCCCAGCAAATGGCCCCCAAATTTGATATAGGGGTGATGTTTAAGCAAACACCGACAAAAGGGAATTAGAACGGAGAACCATACCAATGGTGAGGTTATCCGACTTTCGAAACATTAAAGACATCACAGGGGAAATTGAAGGAAGCTACGTCAAAGCATTCCAGTATACCAACTCATAACCTCGCCAAGTTTCAGAAGTCAAACTAAATGAAGGATGTGCGCCCGTCATTCTTGGACTCACTTTGGTACAATCTTGGCTGTGGCAGCGCCCCTCGTATTTTACGTTTCCCTGCCACAAGGCTACTTGTACACTGCAGATCAAGAAGCACTGCCCTGCACACATAGCAACGAAGGAATGCCCAGAGTTCCCCACCCCTACTTGGACCATTTGCGGGAGAGCCTTTCCCCAGACGATGTTTGCCTAGTTAGGCGCAATCTCAGCCTCGCCCCGGGAGCCCAACGGCCACTTCATCCCCTGCCAATCGCGTGGATCTCCTTTCCACAAATGACCAAACTGTCTCATCCCAGAGGTCACCGGAGCACGAGCAAATAAAATTTGGTCGTATTCAAGTGGCTAGCGATGCGTTCCACAAATAGTTCTAGGCGTTGGCTCAGACGAGGCTTTGAGCCTCCGATCTAATTAGTACAACTATAAGAATGCGTCCGGCAAACAAATTAATAAAGTGTTCTGCTCTAAGCTACACATCGCTGAAGACAGCTACTCAAACGCTTAATTTCGACATCACTCTATAGTACCTGTTACAATGGCTGAAAAGGCGAACCCTCGTGCGTTCATCCAAGAAAATGTATGTGTACGCCTCTAACGTTGACAGCAGCAGTCCCTGCCTACGAGGAACAACCGGCCGAAACCCACGAGCTTTCCTCCTCCAGAGAGGTGCCTGCATATACGCAACCTCCCGCGGGACAAACGCCCGAAATCCAACCGCATCAGCCCCAGCAGACCTTTTATGCAGGCTCTCAACACCCGAGCGGCTATAATACTCCGACTCCGCTGTATGCCCTGCAGAAAACACCAGCACCCGTGGATTGTCCGGCTTGCGGAGAGCGGAAAATGACTCGCGTGGAGGCAGAAACGGGGAGTTCAACTCAGTATGTGCACGTGCTCCATAATGGTGAACCAAACTGACAATGTCCATAGTGCTTGGGCTGCCGTGCTTTGCTGCTGCCTGTGTCTCGGATGTATTCCATACATGATGTCGTCGCTAAAGAATCAGTGTCATTACTGTGGGGGTTGTGGTGCCTTGTTGGCTACATGGCATAACAGTGGACGAACGGATGTGCATCGGTCTGGTGCGAAGTGATGCGATTGTTTTGCTGTTGCCTATGTCTTTTCTCGTTCTTTATGTGATACCACTATGACTCTTTTACCATACCATGTTTGGACATACTTATTGTGATGCCTGGGAAGCATTTGCCTGTCTATAGACTACGCGAAGGCACATATGTCTGGTGCCTGACCTATGGGTAAATGTACACTCTAACATGACTTATCAGGACTCCAACCTTCCTTTCGCTTTCTTAGTATTATCAACTTCGTCGATTTTGCAGCTATATGACCAAAGGGACAGTGACCAAGCAGTTACTACCTTCATATGTACTCGACTCCTATGCGGCAGAATGAAATCGACATTTAATACGCGGGATCCCCATGGCTGAAGGACAGGTACCCGATTGGGCAATCTCTGAGGCGGTCACAAGCTCTCTGTCTCTATCTTGAACTGCTGATCATATTCTGCGGGCCCGTTGTTTAGCCATGATAGGCCGCATACGAGAACTGGACCCAAGTGGGACCATCTGGTTCAGCCCTAATGGCTGGACCCTGGATCTTTCTACAGTATGCATCTTCTGGCATCCAAGGACAATGATTCCGGAAGGCTTCTTTGGCTCGCCCAAGTTCAGCGAGTAGTAAATCCATGTCTCATTGCATTAGCAATGCTGGGAAGGGGCCGATTAGATAAGAGCGCGGACCGGATGTATGACGTCAAGGATGTTCTGCCGGCGAACACGAGAAGGGGTCTGTTCTCTAGAATTTCTATCAACAAAGCCAGAGCTTTCGCCTATGGATGAATCCTCGATTCTCCTGTCCACGACTCATTTATTTCGCATCCACTGCAGCCGGGCACGAATCGGGAGGCCGGGTGGTGGTAGAGAACCATGGCCGTGAAAGAGTGGTGACGCCAGCGGGACGAGCGGATCGCCAAACCTTGATCACGATTGATTTCATGACTGTTCCTTATGGTAAACCATCGCTATGCGCGTTCTATGGCATGCAGCTTGGGGATGAAGCATCAGGAATAGGCGTTGATAATTGCGAATGGCTTCGGTGTAACTGAAGGTGGGGAGAATGCACACCTCCCTGTCCGGAGTGCTGCCGCGCCAATTGACTGGCTCGAATGGCCTCACCTCGAGTTGTTGTGTGTTGATGACCCTTGATCGTCCCGAGTTCGACTTACCAAGTTACCCTCCTGTCAGAAATAAGCTTCATGGGCCAACCCATCCAGCGTTGCATGCATGTGCCCTCCTTCACGTCATTGCGCTCCTTGCTGTCATGACCTTCCGCTGCTCCCGATGCCGCCAGTCCTACCAGTAACCAGGGTTGTTCACCCGCCCGTCCAACTCTTCCTTTCTCTCTTTATTTCCCTCGTGTCATATCATCTCTGCTTCCCGTGCCGTTGTTCTCGCAGGAGTCGTGGGCATCCTCATACTGTCTTGATCAGTCCTCGTTCACTGAAGCCGCGCGGCCGATCTTCGTGAGTTGCACATGTTTTGAGGGGATTCTTTGTGGTAGGCTAATATGAAGTAGATCATGGCCGCTATCGACCTCCTAGCCCTTGAAGCACGACACCAAGTGATCAAGCGAAGCAACTGGGCCGGCGAGAATCCCGGTGTGGTCCTGGTCTTTTGCATCGTTTTCATCGTTGCTGTGGGAATCATCGCGCTCTTCATCTACCGAAAATGCATGGCACGGAAAGCAGCGAAACAGTCATATGAGGTCGAAGCTTGAGCCATTGACTGATCCGACCGGTGATGCTGTGAAACGAGAGTATGGGAGGAAGCAGGATGGAGGATACAAATTCGGGCTGGCTACGTCGCTGCAACGATCGATACGCACGTTTTTCTTATCTTTATGTGCCTTTTGTCCGTCCGTCGAGGATACCCGCTCTGGCTTTTGGTGGATCTGGGCGCTGACGGATCGCGTTGATTTAATGATTTGCTTGGATTGTGTTGGCATAAGGATAAAGAGTCTTAGTTGGACGGGAAGAGAGGATATACTGAATACATACTTTTTAATTTCCCCAATTGGATGATATTCCAACAACTCGGACATTGCATCGTGCTCTCGATAAATTGTACAATGCTGGGGACGAACTTGGCTGAGTTGCCTACTTAGTACTATGAAAGAGCTGCCACGGCCAGAATGGGCCACTTCCGCATGGGACCAGCAATTGCGCCAATGATGGGACTGCAAGTGGTCCAGATGGCAACGGACCTCGTATTCGGGTGGATCGTCATCAGCACCGATTAAGGTTCGTAGCAAAGCTCCATCTTCTTAAAGATAGACTGATGCGCCTGAAGATGGAGAAAATATCATGACAGGCGCATGCTTCCGTAACTCCCATCATTTTCTTCATAATCGGCCGCTGATTACACGGAAGGAGCCTTAGGCGCCCGCCCTTAGAATGCCATCTTTCCTCTCTGTTTCATCCTTGGTGCTTGCTGCTTCCCTCAGCACCATCACCTATTTGACTTTCCTCCACCGTTGCCTCAAGAACCGCATACGCCATGAGACACATTGCGGAACACTCTCCAGCTCGGTGTCTTCCACCATATCCACGATTCCTCCCGAAGTATACACGCCGGAATACTATGCTCTCCACGATCGAGCTAGCCGCCGAGTACCCCGCCAGCTGCTTCCCCGTCAAAAAGACGCTGAAATCCTGACCATCCTCTTGCGTCGCAACATGACAGCTTTCGCACACTTTCCTCAGTGCTATATGCTGTGGCTGATCAGTCCAGCCTCAAAACGCCCAACGTTCCACACATCATATATTGATTCGCTGGATTTCAACAAGGGTGATGTTGTCTGCGGAGTATACCGTGTCCTAGACCGAACCGCGAACAAGGTTGAGTTCGGAATGACATACAAAGGGGTTGATGGACGATTGGTGATCCGATTCTGGGATGAGGACAAGGACGTTGTTTTCGCCAGTGAAACTGCTATGTGGACAAAGGTGGATGAAACAGAGCGGGCCACAATGCCACTCGAAAACCCGGTGCTTCGGTTCTTTCATGAATTGGCCGCGTGGTGGCTGTTAGATTCCGGGGTCAAGTATCTGACGGACTTGGATGCAGAACTGGAGGATGATTGATATTCGAATTGTTCCATCGAAGTGAACTATCATAAAGGAAACATGCCGTATGAACTATCGTCAAGTACCGATTGCTCTGTGGCTTGTGGTTCGGAATCTATATAGGGACGCTATGGTATTGTTCTTTTACTTTGTCTACTCCTACACATCGCAGGCATATAAGCCTCCTTGAATTCCTGTGCATGCAACATCTTGAAAATTTGCCATCTGCTCCAAATCTTCCAACGCATTTTATACAGGCCCAAGTCTGCCTCAGACCGCAAGCGAGACATTATGTGCCAATATACCTTCCACAACAACCCTGACTGCGGCCATATTGCAAACTTCACTCTTGATATTTGCGTTGAGATGATGAATGCATTGCGCGAAGGCACCAAGAACCCACCTGACCACAAGGTCACCACAGTCCATGACCTTCTGCCGAAAGGTCCCTCTTACCAGTGTCGACCATGTGAGGGCAAGCTCTCCAGGGTGGACACCAACTGTTCAGAGTGTTCCGATTCCGAATATGTTGTTTTGGAGGGTCAGAACGCAGGCGTTCCAATTGTGCACAGCTATATGGAGATGTGTCTGAATGAGAAGAATACACCACCTGATGGCTGTGACAGCTTCGTGCATGTGAACCGACAGGAGACCCCTCCCTCGGCACCAAAACCGATGTCTGCCAGCCAAACTCTGAAGATGAGGGACCTGGCTAGTACTGAACCAGAGATCCATTCGCCACTTAACATTATGGAAACACTGGAAGGATATGAAGACTTTTTGAAGAAATCGAACGAACAACTTCGTGCTCATCGCCTGCCTTCTACACCTATTCGCGGTCCAGACTCGGGGAACCACGAGGGTATTCCTGTCGCAAACCAAACTTGGTATGAGAGTGACTCCGAAACAGAGCCCGACCACGTACAGTCTCCTCGTCCCCTTGGCTCCCCTTTCGGTTCACCACATCGGGCCTCACGACCAAAGGAAGCCCCATTGCGCGTATCCGACTTGAATGGCCCACCACCTAGTCAACAGCCAGGCTACCTCAAGGCAACTCCCCGATTGACCAAGACGGGGATCCAAGGCGAGGCTGCGCCCGTCCACCGATCAAACGGTACCACAACTCCGCCCAACAAGCACTTGTATCCGACGCTGCTTCCTTGCACACCTTCTCATCTGATTATCCCCCCAAGCTATTCTCCACCACCCGCACCACGCAAGACCCATCGGAAAAACTATACGGATTATAACCCGTTCGACACACCCGGTCTTCCTTTCGGACGCGAGTACAGACTGCCGCGTCATGGTGTTATGAATACGGTCCTTCAGTCCCCACCGTCGCAATATCCTGAAGTTTATAACAGGAGCTATTCAAGACAATACTGGGGTCCTTACATGGTCTGACACCTGTGTGCGTTGAGCGATGGTGATAACGCATAAATGGCAGTATCTAGGGGTTCGATGACATCAGCAATTACCAAGTTAACATTTCGGTCTTGTTGTTGATCTGATTTATACTATATATATACACAAAAACACATGTGGGTGCGTGTATTCTGTTTTACTGCTGCTCGCTTATTTTTCGGGTCTGTTTATACGAAAGTGGGGGCGATGATATCAGTGACAGGCTGAGTACCAGCCTGAGCATGTGGTATGGTGTTTCACCGCGAGTTATCGGTTCAAAAGCATCTGATAGTCCAATTATTTGGAATTGTCAGTGTATTGGCTATGGTTATTGCAAATGGACATTCAATCAATCAAGTTCAGATACTTATTCTTTCACACGTATACTCTGTAGACCGGAAAAGACTAATACGTAGTGGTAGTCTTGAATGACCGAGTTCATGCAGTCTCTATCTGTAGCCTACGAGCTTGGACATCATACAACTATGCATACGAATATAACATGCAACCTAAGTATCACAGTAAACAGCACTAA